CGATTCCCAAATGGATATCGTCGGTGTTAAAGTTATAGTCACCTAACATAAAGCGATTCAAATGGCAATGAAGTCGACGAAGAAAAATATCACCCAACCCGGTGCAAAGTGAAGAGGCACGACCCAAAACTAATTCATTTAGCCGAGTTAAGTGGATCCTTGAAAAAGCCATTAGGAGCCTACAGGCTCATATTAAAAGCTAATGTTTGCAGTCGGACTTGAACTGAAGCGCTTTTGTTGTTTAAATGGCCGTCCTCCTGAACCATGTTTTTGTTGAACACCATCCATATAACTTTGATCGTTAATTTCGTACGGAGCGACGCCATTTCGGTTAATAAAGAGCAAAAATCAGAACTGGGTGGGATTTCAATGAAACTATGAAATTAAAAAATCTTAAGTGTGATTCGAATGAAATACCAACCGTCTTGAAGCCTCAGGTCTCTTCTATAAAGAGGGAAAATTTCAAGTTGCTACTTGCATTAGGTCAGACGTTAAGGATTTTTAAAGTAGAGCTCGCAGTTGGATGAAAACATTCACTTTTTCAGCAACGAGGAGCGCAAAAACGGCACTCAAGTGACATTCAAATGAAACTTTCAGAGCGTATATATGCGGGTTTCTTCTATGGATTCTAGATGTTTTAAGATGAGGCCTTCTCTAGATTGGAAGTTTTTTATGTAGAGGTGGTAATTGGGAAGAAAACATTCATTTTTGCTCCAACACTTGCAAAGTGAGAAAAACTCAGAAATGAGTGGCATTTGAATGAAGCTCTGCAATTATACAGACTGAAGTCTCGGCTTTCCATTGTGAAAATTTCAGTTGACGGCTTGCGTTATATTAAAAGGTAGAATTTTTTAAAGTAGCGCCTGCAGTTGAGTGAAGGCTCTCGGTTTATCATAAATATACAAAATGTGCCAAAATCAGAGTTCAGTGCGATTCGAATAAGATTCGACCGTTTTTAAAAGCCTCAGGTTTCTGCTATAAACTGGGAACATTTCAAGTTACTACTTGCATTAGGTCAGACGTTAAGGATTTGTGAAGTAGAGCTCGCAGTTGGATAAAAACATTCACTTTTTCAGCAACAGTTCCAAGGGGCGCAAAAACAGCACTTAAGTGTCATTCGAATGAAACTTTAAGAGCGTTTATTTTCGAGTTTTTTCTATGGATTGTAGATGTTTCAAGATGAGGCCTTCTCTAGATTGGAAGTTAACAAATTTTTAAGTAGAGGTGGTAATTGGGAAGAAAACATTCATTTTTGCTCCAACACTTGCAAAGTGATAAAAACTCAGAAATGAGTGGCATTTGAATGAAATTCTGAAATTATCCAGACTGAAGCATCTGCTTTGCACCGTAAAACTTTCAGTTGGCGACTTGCGTTAGACTAAAAGATAGAATTTTTTAAAGTAGGGCCTGCAATTGAGTGAAGACACTGGTTTTATCCTAACATATACAAAGTGTTCCGAAATCAGAGTTCACTGCTATTCGAATGAAATTCGACTTTTTTAAAAGCCTCAGGTTTCTGCTATTAACTGGAAAAACTTCAAGTTGCTACTTGCATTAGGTCAGACGTTAAGGATTTTTAAAGTACAGCTCGCAGTTGGATAAAAACATTCACTTTTTCAGCAACATTTCCAAAGGGCGCAAAAACCGCACTCAAGTGCCATTCGAATTACACTTTGAGAGCGTATGTATTCGAGTTTCTTCTATAGATTGTAGATGTTTCAAAATGAGGCGTTCTCTAGATTGGAAGTTAAATTTTTTATAAATAAAGGTGGTAATTGGGAAGAAAACACTCATTTTTGTTCCAACATTTGCAAGGTGAGAAAAACTCAGAAATGAGGAGCATCTGAATGAAACTCTGAAATTATACAGACTAAAGGTTCTGCTTTGCACCGTGAAAATGTCAGTTGGCGGCTTGCTCTACATTAGAAGTTAGAATTTTTAAAGTACTCGTAGCGCCTGTAGTTGAGTGAGGACACTCGTTTTATCCTAACATACACAAAATGTGCCAAAATCAGAGTTGTGCTATTCGAATGAAATTCGACCGTATTTAAAAGCTTCAGGTTTCTGCTATAAGTGTTATTATAATCATTTTCAGCAACATTTCGAAAGGGCGCCAAAATGAGAGTTAAATGCGATTCGAATAAAATTCATCACCTACAGGAATAACTCAATTTCATTGGATATGCGTAGGAATTCGCTAAATACAGAATATGTCTGGGCGTAAAGAAAATACTTTAATGTTCTGAAATTTTTTTATTGAATCTGCTGAGTCAAACAGTGTCCACCACTGATGCATTTCATCTATAAAAAATTAAAAGTGACTACGTATATCTACATTTAATCTAGATTTACACTCTAACAATGTAATGAATCAATACCATTTCGGTGATGCTTTTGCCTTCTACTTCGGCTCGTTTAGGTGGCTTTTGGAAGCAGTTTTTCTGAAACAGTGTCGATAGTGGGCAATAAATCTACGCAAAACATGCTGCTTTGTTATTAGTCAAGCTAGATTTCATGCTGGATGCAAATTCAAGTGTTTCCACACAACTCAAACCTATGGAACTTAAATTTCCTCTGGATCGCTAAGTCTTCGACTGTAGAAGCTAGAATGTCGACGGATCGGCATTGGTACATTCATTTATCACTTTTTGAACACACTGTAATAGCAAAAAGAAAAAAAAAGCAAAATAAAAAAAAATAATCGAACACAAACCGCTTTAAAAAACAAAGTTTGGAAAATTCATGTTAAAAACCTTGCTTAAAAATTTCACACACAGAAAAAAACCATGTGAAATTGACCGACTTTAGTGTACATAAAGTATATTATTCATAACATCGCGTTCGACACATAAAGAAAACGTTAGAGCCCATTTCGTGCTAGTAACGAATAAAAATAAAGTAACTCATGGGGAAACGTCGCATTTACAATGCATTACAAGCAAAAGGGCGCAGTTGATGTGGTTTCAACTCAACTGAAGTAAAAATATACGAATGAAACTTCATAGACTCAAAACATGGACTTGAAGATAATCAATTGTTACGTTTTATGATAGTTTCAAATGTAATCATTCTATTGGCGTCCACGCAATTTGTCCAATTTGTCCTTCACGAGGAAAAAAATATCTAATAGAAAAGTGAACTAGTGCAAATAAACCAAACAATTTAAGCTTTAAAAGAGCTTTTGAGCTCGAATTCGTTAAAAAAAAGTCCGGCTCAAACCGCTCAAAGCCGGTTACGCCTCTATTGACAACCGCCTTTAATGGGTTCAGTCCCGCCATCTATTACAGCCTGATGAAATGATGCAATATTCCAAAGGAGTTCTGTTTTGCCTGCATTTGTTATGTCTTAAAATGCGTGAGATTTTTGAATATCATTTTTCTATTATTGACTTAAAAAATTCAGTAGTTTTTTTTGATTCTGTTATCAAAAAACGTTCACCAATTTATGTACATTTGCTTACTTAAGCAACTAATAACTAAATATTTTTTCCTTGAAAATGTTTAATTTAAAATTAGGCTTCCAGCTTAGAAAGTTGAGTTTACAGTCAACTCCATTGGGTGAACCTGAAGCCTTTGCAATAGTCGCCGAACGATCGATAGTCGTGTCGTTTATTTATATCCAATTAAAAAATGTATAAAACCAACAAAAGTAAAGTCAGTTCGTCGAAATGGGGTCATTAAGTACCAATTAATTACACATTTTCTAGGTCAAAACGCGTTGAAAATATTGAATGAAAATAATTCGAATAGGACGGCAATAACAATGTTTTTTTTGTGTAAAAGATCGAAGAAAAAGTATTTGCACAACTATAAGTTGTCAAAGGAAAAAGCGTCAACAAAGGTGGTCGAATTAAAATTGAAACTAAACTGTATCTTAACAGAATGAATGAAAATGACAAGGAAACAGGGACAACAGCAGCACGAAAAGTTTGGAAGAAATTAGGTTTTGCCCAAAAGGCCCATAAACATTCCCAAGAAGAAAGAGCAACCATTTATCAAATGTATAGTGAAATTCCTAGAAGTGTCCAAAAGTTTTTCTTGGTTAAGGATTTTCTTGTGGAAGACGATTTTAACCTGAAGAAGTCAACTTAAACAACAGATTTAAGCAGACACCCGGAAAAAAGTGCTCAACTTTCATGCCTCACATCAAATTGCATCAACTCTTCTCGCTTTTTTGGCTGTTGTTGTTGGAAGATTAGATCGACATTAAATGGAAATAAAGCACAGAAGAAACCCAACACTATTTGACACTATAAGGATAAGCGAACAAGGACCGTAAAAATAAACAAACATCCAAACCGAACAAGCTGCTGATGTCGCAACCACTGAGGACTCGAAACATTCACTCACTCTTCACAGCAGTTGCAAGTTCAGTTTCAAGAAAGTTTATGTTTTTCCAGATTGATTAATCAAAAATCCCTATTTTTTTAATGAACCAGTGAGGTCAAATGGAATGTAAAAACTTGAGGAAAAATCCATTGAAAACTGTGTTTTCAATCATTGCTATTATTTGAGTTTTTCCACCTAATCTTGGTTGCTCAGATTGCTAAGAGCAATTTGGATCGTTCTAATGCAACCCTTTAAATATATATTTTATTGCGTAATGTTGCCCTCATATGGTCCTGCAGTGTGTGTATGTTGGCCAGCACATTATAAACATTGGAAATAGGCAAAGTTATGTAAGGGTGTAAACACCTAAATGATGCATTAATTGCCCAATTTGGGGTGTTTTCCGGTGCGCTGTTTACTTAACCAATGCCAAGGCAAAAACATTGCAATGTTCCACGTTGTTTATTATTGTCATCCGCCCCTCCCCACTGGGGATACCTGTTAGGCTAAGCGATGTTGTTTACCCCGATGAAAATTGGTTATTTCTTGCACATAAAACAGTTAGTTGCCAAAAATTGCGTAGACTCTGGGACGAATGGCCCCAGCATTCTTCCAGAGCTTTGAATGAAGAATTTGCATATTTTCCCATTGAACTGGAAACCGGAGACTTACCAGTTGTAGAACAGTGTTTACCACTTCCTTGTTGGAGACCTGTCCCACCTCAATCAGTCCAATTAGCACGGCAAATTTGAGATTATCGTTCATAGCCATTCGCACCACCTCTTCGGGGTGTTTAATGTCACTTAGGGGCGGTTTTGTCAAGTCTGCCATTTTTGCCGAATTCTAACAGCACAATTCAACAACACTACCCGACCACCGACTCTTGCATGTACACAAAAAAATCGAAATTTCCCGATCAGCAAACATTCCGTCACAATTTTTCTGCCATGTTGGGTAGTCAATTGACACAACCAGTCATGTTCTGAATCTGACAGATATTTTTCTACAACTAACCAATCAGGGATGGTTGTGAAACAGGACCGCCAATGTACTGATGTGAAAACTAATGGCTCAGATTATCCAGGTTTTGGAGGCGCATTATTCTGAACAGATCGCCTATTCAAAGCGATCGAAACAAGGAAAGGGAAAAACCGATTAAAAGTTGATGAGTAGAGAGTTTTCCAGGTTGAAATGGCAAAGTAATGGCCATTTTTTCGAGACCTGGCAACCTTGCAAATTCTACTGGACACTGGTCAATTGACTGCCTAGTTCAAAGATGAGCTGCTGATTAAAAGATCACTGAAGTTCGAAGAATCTGATTTTTTCTTCTCGTCAGAGGATTTCAGAGATATTCTGGATTATAATTGCTCTCCTTCATCTGCCTGAAAATTAGTAGTAAAAATTAGTTCAATTTTTTATGTGCCATTCTGTGTGAAGAATCCCACAAAACTTGAAAATGTTATCTGCACTTTTCCATAAGAACTTGGTCCTCTCAAGTATAACAACTCTATATCTAAGCCAAGACTCATTTAACACTGAATACTGAATAATTTACTGGCGTTCTAAACATCAACTGGTTTTAACATCGTTGATTCCGAAACTTTATCTGCTCGCCACCTAAACACATCTCTTATCGTTATTAAACGTTTGGCGAAAGTCGGCAAATTCTCTGAAATTTATCTGCTGAAGATGCGTCTCGACTCCAGCTGAACATTTCGGTTTCTTGTAGCCTCTTAATCTGCAGCCACAATAATATAAGCCTTGTTCTATCATCTGCAGTCACAATAAGGATTTTCTTCTGGATCCCTCATCATTTCTTCGCTAGTGGTGTCTAGTGTTTCTTCATACCATTTTCGTCGGAAAATGACGGATGTGAACATGAAGAATTAGCAAATGAGAATTGGGAATTAAACTTGTTCTCTACAAACATCAGAGTTTGCAAAGAGAAATATGAGCAGATTTTTGAGAACATCGAATATGTTAACGGCTGATTTCTGGGAATAAAGATCGGGTTTAATAATTCTCATATTCTTCATTATCAAGTTCTTCAATTCAGTAAGGCATTTTTTCAGCATGTAAATAATTCTAAATAAATAAAATTTTTAAGTGACTGAACATAACTTTGGTCTAAACGGTTACATACAAAAATTGCTCTTGCTCCTGTTGCTCGACAAAGTCCAGTCTTCCATGTGGAAGATCGCATTTTTTTATGAAAATCTATTGCATTTGGAGTTAATACAATTATTCGTTGCGCTTCAACTTCTAGAAGCTGCAGTTTTCAACTCCTCCCAACTCCAAAAAGTTCTGTAACTTTAATATTGTAAACTTATTCAAATTGCTCAGGATTGATAAGGACGAATTTGGAACTACTTTAGGACGAATGTCTAAAAGACGTTCTATCCGACTAGAATACAAAAAATTATATTCTAACTAATGCTGAACTGAACCAGCATGCTCTAGCAGACCTTTGTTCAACATGATAATGTATCTTCTAATCCTAATATTGGTGTTTTATCGGAAATTATTTTTTTATCTGTCCCTAAATTATATGCTAAAAATCCACTAGGCAACACTGACCAACGGTGACTTATCACGTCACATGTCATCACTACGACAGCTTCCATATGAGACTTTGGGCTATTGCCAAACCTCCTCAAACTAACTGCAAGAAGCTTTCTTCACCATTTGCTCACAAAACTTTTCTTCATGCTAGTGAAAGCGGCAGCGCGATCTGTTGGGTGAAAGTTGATGGCGCTTTCACTCGTCACATTAACTGCCTGAAGACATTCACCATACACTTTTGGATGGGACACTAATCCACTATCAAGTCCGTTCAATTAAAAAGTTATTGGACACTTAAATACCGCGTAAACCACCTTTCTTGAAGGATGGACTATGAATGACTGAGCAGCGTCGTCAAAAGTGGTGTGATTTGGCGTCTTCTGGTCTTTGGCGTCGACCGGCGTCTTGATTCTTCAACACAATAGACGTTTTGCAGCGCCATCTCTTGCTTTGATCTCTGGGCAAAGAGACTCTCAAACCCTAACTGATTTTAAATGAGTTTTATAGAAAAGTGCTAATTTAGGGATTATTTTGTTGTACTTTTGCATCTGAGTTGATCTTAGCTGTGACTGCTTATCCTATGTAACTGTTTATAAGAAGACATTGGAGTTGGAGGAGCCATAGATCTGATAAATCCACATTGAAAACCTCAACCTAACATTTGCACATGGAATCTCCAGCTAACACTCGGTACTATTCAATGCACTAAACATCTAAATCGGGTAAAACGCCGAATTTTTCAGCGACCTCAACAGGAAACGTGAAGACTATTTGGAATGGCCGGACTATTTTATGGCAACCGCTTTTCTAGCGGCGAAAAGAAGCAAAGATCCATGCTCTCAAGTGGGCGCTTGTATAGTCAACGAAGACAATGTTATTGTCGGGATTGGATACAATGGAATGCCAAAGAACTGCAGTGATGATGAATTCCCATGGTCCAAAGGATCCAAATCCGATTTGGACAACAAATATTTGTATGGTATGCAGCTTACACTAGTTTAAAGGGCTTTCGGTGTCAAGTGTTTCTCCCATGTGACTTTTTCCTTCATTAAGAGAAAATTGAAAAGCTCTACTGGATCTAGATCTGGGAACTGAGGAGTACCCAACTAAGGACAAACGTTCAAAACATCTCAGCGTACTCGTACTACTTTACTTCCTTCTTCCTAAAAAAAAGATTCAAAGAAAATGAACAAGTTTAGTTTCTCTCGCTGATCAGAGCCTCTGGCTCGACGCTGCAGGTCTTCGACTTGCTATGATCGGTTGGAAAAATTGCTTTTTCTGCTTTAGTGTGCCACGCTGAGCTGAACGCAATACTTAATAAAAATTCGGTCGATGTTCGTAATTGTACTATGTATGTCGGCCTGTTCCCCTGTAATGAATGTGCCAAAGTGATCATCCAGTCTGGAGTTAAGCAAATTATCTATATGTCAGACAAGCACGGAATGAAACAATCCACCATTGCCTCCAAACGAATGCTTGATGCCGCTGGAATTAAATATAAGTAGGTACATGTTCCCCCAATATACCTACTAACCAATAGGTTAGTACTGACCAATTTTGTGCTTGTCGCTTTTGACAGTTTGACTTGACTTCTTGCGGTGAATTTTCCCAATACTTCTAGGCAATTCGCCCCAAAGAACCGGAAAATAATAATCGACTTTGATGAGATCAACTGGAATGATCAGAACCAACTGCCCACCAGTCCTGTAATGGACAACACCGCAGAAAAACTGGAGAAAATGTCTTTGAGCAATGGTTTGCGCACTCGCTTGGATCTTGAGCACTCATTTAACGGCCACAAACCGCAAGAATCGTAGTGGGCTGGTTTTAACGTACATACTCAAGTTGGTGAACTAAATGACACCTGACATGTGACAAGTGACGTCCCCTACTACGAGCATGGGAGTTTTGTAGATACGAATCAGTTACCAGTATAAAAGTCTCCAAGTTGTACAAGCAAGCTTAAGATATTTAAAACATTCAAAGGTATTTTAAATCAATAAAGTCTTCCAAAAAACAATGTTTTGTCATTTTATTCAAGTCGAAAATGTTGTACTTTTCTTCAGTTGGATGCTAATACGCACCTTATGTCCACTGGTGCTTCCTCCAACTACAGTTCTTCAAACTAGCCAGGCCAAAACCCTTCCTCAGGTTTTCAGTCAACATTACATCAGTTTTTCCCAAAAGATTGACCCGAACTGTAAAAAAATTATAAGTGGCTTCCGATGAAAACAGTCCTGATCAGCAAGGGCAAGTGAAGAAAAAATCAGGCTGCAAAAATAACTGTTTATTAATAATTTAGTAGATACAGAATTGAAGTGAGCGCTACTTTTGCCAGCAACTAAACCAATCCAAACAAATTCGGGCCGTAGAACACAGTCTTTGCAACTAGAAACGTCGCCTCCTTAAACAATAAATCACACAATTAACAAACATGTAAAAATTACTTAACAAAATCGACGTAAAACTTAAGAACTACGCTGCATCGTCCGCGGCAACAATAACAAATGAGTGACTACTTTCTTGGGGAACGCTGTTTTTTTCTCGTCTATGGCCATGGAGACAGTCGGGAAGACCACGGGCGGATCTTCCGCTGGCTTCCGCTTTGGCGTCCTTTTGGATTTTCTTCTTTTTTAGTCTTCGCTTCTTGGTTACCTTCTTGGATTCGGCAGGTTTAGCGTACACGGCGCCACCCTTCGTTTCCTGCTTCAGTGATTCCTGTTGAATAAACAGTTCGACTGGTGAAATTGAACTTGGGGAGTCCGATTCTCTGGACTCTTCACTGCTGTATGGATTATCAGCTAGAAACTCTTCAGTTGGGGACGGTCTGCGTTTTTTCAGCTTCAAGTTCTTCTTGGGTACTGCAGTGGCCACGTACTCACTAGGCTGGCGGGCTCCATCGCTGAGCTTTTGCCCGCCGATCTCCGGTTCTCCTTCCAATGGAAGAACGAAGGTGGAGATTGGAGATATTTGGTAGTTCTGATAGGGAGCCTTGCCTACGGCCACAACATGGTTTGGAGGAGGACTTTGCACAGCATAGCTTTGATGAGTGTGTGCAGTTTCTCCATTCTTCGGTGCTGCTTGAACGATGTAGGTTTGATGGGAGTGAGCGCCACCATCATCGTGGCCACCTAATTAATTGGAAAACTGTGCAAACGAATTTGGAAATTGGGGGTTTTACCTCCACCGCCGCCGCCGCCGCCACTGTCTTTGCTTTCCCTCCATCCCCATTTCTTTCCATTGCTGGCCCCCTGCTTGTGGCCATGTTTAGTGTCGTGTTGATGATGGTGTTCGTGTCCTCCTTTGCTGTCGTGTCCGTGTTCATCCCTGTAGTGGCCTCCTTTAGCATTCGCTCCCTTCCTCCCATGATGCCCTTCTTGGTGACCTCCTTTTTTATGTCCGCTCTTTTGATGTCCTCCCTATTACCAATGGAAGGTTTAAGTGCACTCATTCCAGGGCTCATGACTTACCTTTTTGTATTCATTTTTATGACTGAACCCTCCATGCTTTTCGCTGTCGCCTCCCTCATGGTCCTCCTCAAAGAACTCGGTCTTTTTCTCGTATTCGTCCTTCTTGTGAATGCTGTGAGAGCCTTTGGTGCTGTGTCCTTTATTGTGTTGTCCCTCTTCGGAGAACTACTGCAATTTTATAGATTTGCTGTTTCCGAGGGGTGGAGAACTTACCTTTGCGCCCTTCTTCCCGCCATGGCTCTTGTGGTGTTCTCCATGGTAGCCGTCTTCATGGTGGTGCTCCTTTTTATGCGCTCCCTCCTCACCGTAGCCGTGATGGTGGTTTTCCTTGTCGTGGTGGCCTTTCAAGGCTTTCTCGTGCTGGTGGTGCCCTTTGTAGCCTTTTTCTCCTTTGTCGCCATGCTCTCCGTGGTGATGGGCGTGGAAATCTTTGCCACCGCCCTTTTCGAACTCCGCGTTGTGATTGCCTGGGTTAGAGACAATTTGATGGTAAATTCTGATAATTTTACATGTTTCGGGTCTTGGAAGGAGAACAGCCCTTTTATGCCAAAAGTACTCAAGTTATGGGTTGATTACGTTTTTTGGTCAATAGTTTGTGACTATGAATGTTTTGGAAAAATGAATGAAAAGAGTGATCATTTTAGTGCCCATGAGTCTTTGGTGCTCTTAAAGCAGACAGAGTGGTAGGCAGACGAGATCGAATCAACAAATTGTTGGGGAAATCGGAGAAAAAAAGTACAAATTTTTTGTGCATCTGCCTAAAGGATCAAAGTGTAGTCGATAAATTGAAAAGTTTATTAAACTCCCGAGCTGTAAGTTCAAATTTCTATAGAACATCAAAAACTCCACGTCTTTATTGATCTGAAAGCGAGCGGAAAAAGAAAAGACGAATTTGCTGAATATTTAAGCGAAAGCTTTAAAAGAAAGCGGCCGAATTGAGACCAAAGCTGATTAATTTGGATGGTTTCAGTTTGTAGCTCAAAAAGGACTTTAGTTGACCGAATTGGCTAAAATAAGTGACAAAATACAACGAAGTTTTAAATCACAGTCAAATTTTGAATCGAAGTTTAGAAAGCATTCAATGAAACAGAAAATTTGCTAAAAAAAATGTTTTTTTGAACCATGAGCATCAAGCAACAGTTTCGTTTCTGCAAAGGATTGGAGAGAGTTTTTCAGCATACCTCCATCATCGTGTTTCTTATCATGATGTTTACTTTCAGCCCCTTCTCCTCCTGCTTCTAAATCACCCTTAGCTTGTTCTTCAGTTTTTTCTTTAACTGCCCCGTCTTTTTTCTCGTCTGTTTCCAAATATTTGTAATAACTTCCCCCCGCGTCGGTGTTCTGATCCTGATGTTTCGACTCGGCTGGCTCTCTGTCTTGATCAACAAACTACAAGGAAAAACTTTTAAGTTATTGCGTCCCTCAGAGCTTAATTTCGCGTAATTAATTTTGCTGTAAAACCACAGTATTGCCTAATAGTGCTGAAGTGAGCTCAACCAGCCAGAGGAAACCACTGGAATTTAGCAATATTAATTGTTTTTTGTAATTTTTTATTTTTGGTTTATTTCCGTCTAAGGTACCTGGTGCGGATTGTAGGAAAATGAGAGTGCCGGTTTCAAAACCTTCTCCACTTTCTCGCTGGCATCAGTTAATGGTCCATTACTCCCATCTGCATCATAAACCAAAGGAAGAGCTTCGGCCGAAGGTCCCGTTTCGATGAAGATCGGTCTTGGTTCCGCTGCGGAAGATTCAAGATCAAAGTCCTGTGGAATATGACGACCGACACTAGCACTGATACACACTAGCACAAGAATGCAAACAAGCATCGGCCAATGTTTGCTATTTCCTACGATGAGTTTCATTATGGACTATCATTGGACGATGCAGTACGAAAATGTATTTAGATCTAATATTATGAACTACTGGCATGAAATTTTTTGAGATAGAAGCTTATATACAATCCCCCTCTCCAGCAATGCGACTATCAAATCACTCCACTATTTGGCAACTAGATGGTAATCGGGTCGAAATAGCACTAGAAGGAGCCATAGGAGTTGCTTAATTGGCGCGACAGTTTTAAGCGAAAGATTTATTACCGTTTGTTACATTTAAATGTGGCCATATTGAAGCGGTTTTTTTTTCGATTTGTGATTAAGCGTGGAACATCGAATTTCACAGATTGGGCCCCTTCAGTGTTGTACTCGTATGAAAATTGGCGCTACATCTTCACATGACCAAATGTTGCTTGAAATTCGGTTTTTTCCCAAATGTTTCTTAGCTACTTTGCCATAGAACTGAGTAAAACAGCAAGTATTTTACTAAACCGGAGACGTTTTATAAACTTATGAAAATATACTCAGTGAAAAGGCAAGTTTCTGTATTCTTGCACTCAAAAGTTCTTATGTAGTAAGGAACCAAAAAAAAATTGTTATTGTGAAGCAGGTTTTCAGGCATTTTAATGAAACAAAGCAAAAAAGTGATCTGGGTTGGAAATAAACGCAAATATAAAATTGCGTTCTGTCAGATTTTTACTCGTCAGTAAACTGCGTTTCCACACAGCAGAAAAATCCGCAAAAACATGAATTTGCGGCACCCTGCACTGTGCTTCATTAACGAATTTCTAACTTTTTCTTCTTTCTAATTTTTTTCTAACGAAATTCCGAATAATCCGCAAATTGATTATCACAGTTTACTAACTAAAATCCCATAATCGAATTACCGGGGCAATACCACGGGTACTTACAATCTAACGATATTTTTAGCTGAAAGTGTCTTTTGACTAGGTTTCTATTAATCCACGCGGCATTTAATACATTTACAAGCAGTAAGAAAAATTCAGTTTGCGATCACGGTTTCTTAATAGCAAATGCATTTTTCTTCAAAGTGACAAAGTATTTGCACCTGCTTATTTTTCATTGGTTAGTTAGAAATCATTGCAATTCGGCATTATTTTCGATCGGTTTATGCAACCTCTTCCATTGTGTTAATCAGTCGTAAACATAGCATTTTTTTACGACACAGTTAAAATCACATGGATTTACGTTTGGCAATCTCACAGGCCATCAGGTCCGTGACCACCGATGGGGAATGATTTTGGTTAATCTTAGACCGTTCCTTATTAACTTCCTGAACACAACACGCGCTGTTTATAACACAATTTATAAGCTAATGAACCTCAAGTACGGGAAAAAGATCAGACATACACAAGGCACTCGTTAATGGTTGCAGGACAAACTAAGAAAAAAATTACAAGGGGATTACAATTACAATTGAAGAACATTGAAACTTTCGGCACCATCAGAACCTCAAAGGTTAAAGGGAAGTGTTATTTTCAGGCTAAACCCATCTGATGAAAGGTATAAAGTCCGAAAGCTTTTCTAAGAATCTGAACCCACTGCATCAGAAAATTAATCTATTATTTATTAATTAAATTTGTTCTTTGCATTTTCCAAGGCGTTCATTGTGCGGGTGCTTTCTACAATCCAAAATGGTTTTAATGGTGAATTTTATTCGTTTACAACAGGCAAATAAAGGTGGAGTTTTCACTGTTTTAAATAAACAACTGCAAAATGACTTTTCTGGTCACCATCAAGGAATAATTCCGTTTTTATTTATTTACTGATCTTCAGCAAAAATAAATGATACGGACAATTTGAGGTAATTTCGTGAAGTAGCCGTTCAAGCATTGGGATTCCTAAAATCGTGTTGTATAAGTTTTGTTTTGTTCGTTCAACCGCTTCCTTCTTCTGGTTTAATTGTGTGCTTGAGCAATATCCTTTGGAACGATCTTCTATTCAAGCAGCAAGTATTGGGAGAACAGGATGTACGCTCATGAAGTGGCCGGTCTGTCTGCCTGATCTAAAGCCGGTGTGTAATTGAAATTACCAGAAGCTGTCAACAATGCTTTCACCCTCTAATCATGTCGCGGTACATTTAAAACACTATCGTTGCGCCACAGTTACTTAATTATTCACTTCCTTCGGTTGTTATAACAAATAGACGACCATTAATTCGTTCTTTTGTCTTGGTTGTTTCGATTTACCAACAGAACAGTTCGTGAGCAATAGTTGCTGCGAATTTTGATTACATATCATCGACCGCGTTTTTTGTAATCCTTTTTATTGCTCCTTTAGTTTAGTAATTAAAAACTGTACATTTTCGGTTTTTTCCACCAACAATGCACTTTAATCAACCTTGAGATAATGAGCAATTTAGACCATGGCGGGTTTCTATATCTACTGTTTTTGACCCTGTTTTGCGCTTGCCAAACTCAAAATCTCACTAAACCGTTGTAAATTCCTCGTTTGCAACAAATGGGGGTGTGTCATTTAATGCTCACGATTCCCAATTTTGCTCAATCATTTTTTGTTTCTTCACGATAATTTTTTCATCTGTTTCAAGATATTTTAATGGAAGAAATGATCGCCCGATTCCCCAATATTTCCTCAGGAGAAGCCAAGTTTTCGACTTGACTATTTCACTGGCACAATAATATTAACGGAACGTAAAACTATCCAACGCTGAAAGGAAAAACTGCAACTTTTGCAAAAAAACTTTTTTACAACGTTTTTGTAACGTTTTAATGGGTTAGTTTGGATCTACTTATTCCTTATTTCAGTTGGTTTGGAAAAGCGCAAGGAAAAAAGGAATAAAACCCTGCAAAGGAGCTAAGTAAATTATTAATTAATTGTTAGATAGGAGACAAATTGGTAAGTTGATAGACCAAACTGAAAAACGCCTCATTTATTTAAATTTCTTGAAATACGTCAAGCATCTCGTTGGTGAGCCAAAAAAAGTTTTCACAACTTTCATGCTCGTAATCTAGACATCTTCAGACCTTCCCAAAAAACATTGGAAACTTTATCTTTGACAATTTCTAACTCTTTCCAACTAACTAAAATGGCCAAAGTTGCACATAAGTAAATGAAGATTTTTTAGCGTCCCAAATTCAAATAACGGGATAATTTTTCGCGGCTTAAACGGACCACTTGGTCTCCGAACTCCCAAAATTATTGGTCCGTTGAAGCCACCAAAAATCATCCCTTCACCTAAATAAATTAAAATAAGGTTCTCTATCTCTCAAAAGTCACTAATGGTCAGTCTGTATATTTCGCTGTGAATTAGCAAAATAACGCAAAATGTTGTTTTCGTAACTTAAAAGTGAGCGCAAAGGAAACAAAATGAATGAAACTTTGTATAGGCGTTGTCCAGTTGCAAGAAGAATCCGCTGATTAAATTGCGGAGTAAAAAGCTTGTTACGTTAGTAGCAATACTCCACAATTATAGACGAGTAGAAAAACACCTACTTTCTGTCTGGCAAAATTAATTTTAACTTTTATGTAAGAGTTGATCGGTGGTCTAGTTTCCGCAGCCGGGTATATTGAACTAACAAAGCATATAATGATGGTGTTTTTTTTGGCAGAATAAACCCCGAGTAATTTTTCACATTAGTGTCATTACCATGCGCCAATTTTTTTTCATGGGGCCCAAGAGATGGAATCGATTTCTCCGGCTTTTTCAGCATTCGAAACGTTTAACCGGCCCGATAACAAACGACTTTTTACGGCCGCACTTACTTAAGCCAATTAATCGAAGCTCAACTTCTTTTAACTTGAAACTTGAAATACATTGTTTCCTTATTTCAATATCCACCAAAATTACCGTTCAATTGCTAATCAATTCATTTCGCTGTCACCAATTTTACGGAATCCATTATTTTGGTTCCGGAATAATAAACATGCACATTTTCAACTGTGATTACTTTTCTGAACTATGAATTTTGATTGTGGATGTAAAAACTTGTAAGTGGACACTTTCATTGTTTTCCTTTTCCGTTTTTGTTGATCCGGCTTTTTCTTCTAGATTACCAGACACTATTTCACAAAAAAAACAGCAAATACATTTCGAAGGAACAGTGCTCACGCTAAAAACTTCTCATAATGCGGCAGTTCTTCCTCAAGAATATGTATAAAACTTAGGGCAGTTTCTTGCGACGCTCGCAATTTCGAGGAGGCTTTTTCAAATTGTTATCTAAAGTATGTGGTTTCTAAATTATATTTATATGCGCTTGTAGATGTTGAACTTGAAAAATTTCTCTAATGACAGCAAAAGTTATTCAGATTTCACTATCAGAGGCAAAGGTAATTGACTTTTTAGGCATTTTCAATTCGTTATTGCTTGATGCATGGTCGCAATCTGATTTTTATAATAGGAATCTCGTTTTTACGTTCTATGGAGCAACTGGGGTTTTTTTATTTACAAAAGCTTGGAAATACTTATATAATATTACCGAGACCGATACTTAAGTCCTCCTTTTCGTAACGTGATCGGTGCACAAGAAAAGTTGATCGTTTTATGGCTGCCTCAGCTAAAAAGAATTGCTCTGGCAGCATTTTCAATAAATTATTATAAATGATGTGATAATAAATTATTATTATGTGATTATGTGATAATAAATTAAATACAATCAAATCGATCGAGATGCTTAAAAATATATTAAAGTACTTAATAACAACAACAATAACAATAAAATTAAACCCGAGCTGTTAGTAAATTTTGCAGTTGAAAATTTAAAACTCAGAGATTACAAAGCCAGAGATCTAAATAAGTGGAATAATAAACCGATGAACTGTAATTATTGTTCAATATAACCGCAACGTTTCCATAATGTTTCCGTACCAGGCAGCTGAATATTAGAATACTGAACCAAACAAATTTTACAACCAGTCGTTACTAAATTTTAAAAAGCATTTATTCCCATTTTGATGTACCAATTGCTGCTGATGTGTTAATTAGGTATTGCCTGGTTCGCTAAAATAATTGCTTTCTTTTTTGAATAATTAATTGGCGAGAAAACGATTTATTTTATAGTTTTGGAAAACAGGAAATATCCAGCAATCTGAAAAAGTGAAATTTTCTGCGGTTTTTGCGATCCCGATATTGCCTAGGAAATATTAAATTTGCCAAAGTCATGTTTGCTTCCTTATCGACCACAATTTGATAAGTGTGAATAATTTAATAAATTGTGGACATTCATTGTTTCTCAAACTATCAGGTCGTTTTATTTTCGTGGTGGTCGAGCTACTTCACTGGCAAATCGATTTTTTCTATTTCAATGCTGTTTAATACTAAAGGTAATTTATTAAATCATAACGCAACATAATCTGCAAGTGGTTTGCCAAATACACGATCTGATTTTAATGAGGCAATTTTTCCTTTATTCAATTTTACGTACTTTAGCTTATGTTCCGATTCTTCAGAAGCGGATGCTGTCGATGTAAAAAGAGCTCAAAATCATTCCAAGGTTTAAAAATGCGTTATGACTGTCTCAGTACCGCTAGTGGGATCAAATTCAAACCACAAGTAAACCAGAGCTTCTCTTTTTAAGGTCGAGCTTCGTATTCAGATATCTCGCATGATTGCTCAGAAAGTGGCTTCAACAGCAGGTGATGAAAAAATGACAAACCGCGCAAAAACACCTCAGTTTCAAAATTAATTACGATAGTACCAGACTCTTCAATGGAACCAAATTTAAACCACATGTAAAATTGGGCTTCTGATTTCGAGTGAAGGAACCCGCATTCCAATGTCTCAAGTGGTTGATCAGAAACCGGCTTCAGAAGCACACGATAAAAAAATTAGAAGGCGCACCATGGCACTTCAAAGTTTAAAAATTTATTATGAGGGTACCAGAACCTTGAAGGTAACAAAATCCAAACACCATGTAAATTAAAGCCGTTTTTCCAAAGCTCTCAGATCCTCATACCGAGATTTCAACCGATTGCTTAGACATCAGTTTCAGAAACTAATGATGTAAAAATGAAAATTCGTGCAAAAACACTCCAAAGTTTAAAAATTCATCATGATGATATCAGTCTTTGGAATAGAACCAAATTCAAACCGCACATAAAAATTAGATTTCGCTTCCGAGTGATCAAACCCGCATTTCGATGTCTCAACTGATTGATCAGAAACCGGCTTCAGAAGCATATGATGAAAAAATTAGAAACCGCGCCATTACAGTTCAAAGTTTAAAAATTCATTACGATGGTACCAGCACTTTGAATGCCACCAAAAGCAAACGCCATGTAAAATGAAGCTTTTGCTCTGAAGTTCTGAGATCCTCATCTGAAATCTCAACCGATTGCTTAGACATCAGCTTCAGAAACTAATAAAGTAAAAATGAAAAATCCAGCAAAAGCACCCAAAAGTTTAAAAATTCATTACGATGGTACCAGTATTTTGAATGCAACCAAATTGAAACCACATATAAAATTGAGCTTTTGCTTTCGAGTACTGAAACCCATATTACGGTGTCAGACTGTTGACTGTTTGATCAGAAACCGGCTTGAGAAGCACATGATAAAAAAATTGGAAACCGTACTTCAAAGTTTAAAAATTTATTATGAGGCTACCAGAACCTTGAATTCAACCAAATCCAAACACCATATAAAATGAAGCTTTTGTTCTAAAGCTCTGAGGTCCTCATTCCGAGACCTCAACCGATTGCGTAGACATCAGCTTCAGAAATTAATAATGTAAAATTGAAAATTCGTGCAAGAACACTCCAACGTTTAAAAATTCATAATGATGGTACCAGTCTCTTGAATAAAACCAAATTCAAACCACAGATAACATGGAGATTTCGCTTTCGAGTGATAAAACCCGCATTCCTATGTCTCAACTGATTGATCAGAAACCGGCTTCAGAAGCATTTGATGAAAAAATTAGAAACCGCGCCATGACACTTGTAAGTTTAAAAATGTATTATGATGGTACCAGTCTCTTGAATAGAACCAAATTCAAACCACACAAAATTGATTGAAAAATTTCAAACTGCGCCATGACACTTCAAAGTTTAAAAATTTATTACGAGGGTACCAGCACTTTGAATGCCACCAAAGCCAAACATCATGTAAAATAAAACTTTGTCTTTACACAAAATATTGAGCCAAGCAGGGGAGAATGGTGAACTTTCCAAGGTCGAAAGGTACCGTCGTTGGAAATCTCGCTAAGAAAAAAGTGTTATTAAGGGGATAATCTACAACGGAAGTCACTCTTTATTATCGAAATCTAGAGAGCCCAAAACCAGATAATTACTTTTTCTTTACGTGAATTAAACACAAAGTTAAACGGTTCTTATACACAATTATCAATATTAAGGACAGTTCGAGTTTTAAGTCGTTTTTGCTCAATCTTAACTAGTTAAAATGGCCATAGTAGAGACTGCTTTACTATGTAAAATAGGAGTGTTCTGCTGCGATCACATCTTCAATGCGAATTTTTGACCCATTTTTCAAACCGTTGGCAAAAATCAGGCTTTAGTGCGATTGAAGTGGAAATTTAAGGGCTATCAACCACATGAATCCTCTATAGGGTGTCAACGTTTCAAGTTGCTACTTGCTCTAAATGGAAAGTTATGAATTTTTAAAGGAAAGCGTGCAGTTGAGTAAAAGTGCGAAATATGCGTCGGTCTTAATAGTGCAATCCAAGTAAAGCATTCACAAATCACAGCACATTTTGCGAATGGTATGTACTTTGATTCTGGTGGATCTGCTCAAAATTGTACAGCCTCTCACAATAGATCAAGCCAAAAAGGTTTTTACGTTTCATGACAATTGAGCAAACGATTGATCGGAGAGCGAGTATTTAATTGAGCATTCGAAAGTCGCCACATGAATGGGGATGTTTGTTTATCTTTACCCGAGAAAGCAACTTTGTTTACGCTAAATATCCAAACCAGTTCGATATTGAACGGGAAATTTCTAGAAAATCGCCAATAAGAAAAAAACTGAAATCGAACAGCAAGCAATACAATGAGTCACCCAAAGGGCCAGCAAGCAAACCGATTCTATCATTATGTAAGTTCTGTACCTCGATGCGTTTTATATGTGATAAACAACTTAATTTCGCATGAGTTTTATCGGAAAGCACATTTAGTTCAGTCTATTATGGGCAAGGGACTAAATCGGTTGGCGGTTCTTTGTTCATAAACGGGATAAAAATACCAATTTGGTGCCATTTAGGCACGAACGGTCGACCATCTTACCTGTTAATTGCTGAGTGTAATCCACATTTATTTTCAACTTTTGTGGAATTTCATTGCCTGTTCGTGTAGTGTGTGCTTTCTGAAGCTTAAGGGAGAGACAATGGAGAATCGGGCGCAAGTTTGCTAAAAGCAGGTAAGAAGGATTATTAATCTATAAGCCTTTAACTTGAACTGAGTTGAGTTTTCGTTTGAGTTTCCTATTTCTTTTTCCTTCCAATCAAATCACTGGGTTTTCTACTAAGTTCATGTAATAAAACAGATTTGTCTTTCCTTTTCCAAGTGGTACAATGCAGGCTGTCGGTAAGTTCAGCATTACGTTTACCGTGAGTGATCCTGGGCAACCCATTTAGATTTTGCGCTGCGTTTCCAAATTTTTTTTTCTTAAACCAGCATACATACATGTATGTATAATACATAAGTATGCATTTCGCAGCGGTGACTAAATCACATGTTTGTTAAAAATTTAAGCAAACTATTTTTAGCTAAATGATTCGTATTAGGGATTTTCAGGGGCTGAGATCCATCCGAATAAATGCATTTTTGAATGTTTACTGCTATTTATTGTTTAATATTTAATATTATGTTGTGTGTGATCCTGACCAAACAATTTATATTTCGGGCTAATTTTTACAAATTTAAAAATTTTCATAAATTATTTTTTTCTAAACGATTTGTAGTAGGGCTTTCCAGGGGCTTGGATCCGTCCGAATAATTTAATTTTTTATTGTTTATTGCATTATTGGAGGATTGTTTTTTGTTCACCAAGTCATTTTTTTTATGTTTCAGCTTTCGGTAAATTTGGCATTACTTTTCCCTTGGTTGCCATGTAGATGTAGAACTTTTAGTCCCATATTGCTGACTTGTGTTGTATTATATAATTGCTATTACGACGGCCTTTGTATTTGCCTGATTTACACGAGATCCACCCCTAGAGCAGCATTGTCGGCTGCGGCAATTATGGTGGATTTGGAGCAAAAAATTATAGTTGTAGGTTCCCGTAAAAAGTAACTCTCTATATATGGATATTAAAATTTGAAGGTAAAAAACCGGTTTGTTAAAATGTTCTTGATTGTTACACGTATACTGACTATGTACCGATGATCTTCGCATCTCATTTATTTAAAGAAACATAGTAAAACTTCAGAAAGGTTATTGTTAATCGATGATTATGTATCATCAATTGTAATAGCTGCTATAAAGATGTTCATCCGATTATTGATAACTTTTGCTTTATAACGATGTCAAATATCCTCCAAAAACCATTATTAAATAGTGATTTTGTTTATCATAACTTTATTTAAATTTTCTAATATGGAATATTTGTAGTTTCAGTGTAAAAAATACCAATACATGTTTATACAATTGCTTCGTCTGTATTTTTTTATCCCTGAACCCTAAAAGAAAATTGAATATGGCGCGAAATTGAAAGCTTGGTTGCTCAGGCCGCAAGAGCGCTGCAAATAGAATGGGATATTTAGAGAGTATACTGCTTGGCTCTATCTTATATCTCTTTATCTATTAACACTCTTCTATATTTTTCGACTCTACTCGACTTCTATCAGTCTTTATCTATGGTCAGTCTTGACAGATCACCATAGATCACAGATATCAGTGATCTGTGGGATTCTGTGCTGGAAGTGTTGTTTACAGATCTGTGGTGTTGACCTGTCTTCAGTGAGAGTATGAGAATAACCACAAAATATCCCCCCTGTATGTTCTGTGGAGAATAACCTCTGTGATCTGTGAGTGTCTTTATCTATGTTGTTTGGCTTAATTTATAGACGATCCAAGCACTTTTCTTACTGAAATTGTTTAATTTCAAATGTACTTGAAACTAAAATAACTAAAAATTTAGAATTCGGCGAGCTTCAGCGACAGGTTCATCCCCAATTTGAATTGAAAATTCCTGGAAATCAATGAAATGTTTCTATTCAATGATAAACGTATTGCGTCAGGTGTGTTTTAGGACTTTACAATTACATTTACATTGCTGGAGACTAAATAGTGGCCAAGTCGGTATCCTTTTTAACGTGAAACCACTGATAATTTACCAATAAGATTTATTGGGAAAGTATGGTTTTTCTTAATAAATCAAGTAGACACTCGGAATGGAGGAAAACCGCAAAGAAATTGAGAAGAAAGCGCATTAGGCAAGCTAAAGCTCAAGCCAGGGATGCGCAACTACGCAAAGGTAAGAATATACATTATTTACAGTTGAGCGGTAATACCTGTTTTTATTAACAACTTTTCTTAATGGTGTTTTTAGCTGAAATGCCGTTTCCTACTGCTTTTCACCCATTGAATATCACCGATTTGTTGATGTTGAGTTCATTTTTTGTAAAAAGTAGTGAATGAATGAAAAGTAGACAAAAATCTCATTTGCCCAAAAACCATCACTAAGAAAAGTTGTCAATAAAAATATTATCCAGTCGGTGAACACATTTTTAGTGTGGGCAGACCAAGGATTGATGTCCCCAGCAATTATCAAAAAATCACTTTTCACTGTGTTAATTTCTCCAGTCTAATCGCTCAAGGCTTAATATTTCCGACTCATTCGACAAATAGTCCATTCATAGTCGCTCATTTCGCAAAACTGTGAAGAAAACACCAGAAATTACCCAACTCTGCAACAACCAATTTAATATAAAAAATCATCCAAGTTGACCTCAAAGTTTAACAACGAAAAGTCGATCATCCTGTTCATTTTAATCACCAAATCAGCCTTTAAAATGCTCGATTCGATTTGAAATAATCACAGTTTTTTTGCCCAAAAAAATTTGCACACCTTTTTCAATCCTCGCATAAGCAAAAAATCCTCCTTTCGTTCGGTTTATTGAAATAAAATAAAAGATAGTCAAAATGGACAAAATCACAATGTATAACAGTAGCTACTAATCATTTAGTTGAATCCCAACCGGAGTATCAGCAATTTCTTCGGCGGCAGGAAGAAATAGAAAAAGAGCAGGCAGAGGAAGAACAACGACAAGCTGCCGAAAGGTAAGCCATAAACCTCATCCGAAAACACAGTCTATTTGTCGCAAAGACTTCAATTAAATTTAGCAAATCGATTAGTCACAAAATAAATATAGTTATTTATTCCCCGCTATCCTTAACAGTTAAGACGACCTTTTTACATACACTCCAAAAACTAAACAGCTGCAGACTTTTACCCTTAGGAAACCGGGGAGTTCATGAAATTAATGTGAAAAGCAATCATTTCCAGGGAGGCGCAATGGAGGAAAGTGGAAGAAGAAGCACAAGAACAGTGGCGCAAATTGCAGGAGCGACTCGCACAGGCGAAGGATGAGAGACTGAAGCAAAACTTGAAAATACGACTTGAATGGGAACGTGAACAAGAAAAGCTCAAAGAAATACAGCTGGAGAAGGTAATGTTGGATTTTGTCTGATTGATTTGAAGATTTATGAATAATGATGAGCCTAAAGGTGTCATGAACTGGTCGAATTATTTTCATTATTTTCGAGTCTGTAGCCAGTTTTTTTCGTGTTCTTAACATTAACTCTCTAGGAACGAAAACTAGAGGAAGAACGCGCCCAACAAGAAAAACACGTAAAAGAACTGTTGGATTTTCTCGAGCAAGGTGGAGACACTCCAGAACATTTGAAGCGAACTATGGAAACAAATCCCGGAAAAAAACCATGTCCGTTTTTTCAAAAAGTCTGCGCCTGTCGTTTCTTTGATACGTGCTCAAGGAATCACATTAGACCCGGTGTAAGCAGCACTCTACTGATTACCAACTTTTTTACTCATATAAGGTAAATATTCCAATGAAAAGGATATTTGTTTGTTGAACAGTCCTTCAGGAATCTTTTCATTTCAAATGCTTCTTCAGCCTGGAAGTGAAGGAAAACGAACATGGCAGCGATTCCAGCCTCGAGTTCGAAAAAGAGGACACGTTTAAGTATTACAAGGATTTTTTTTACGATGTCATCCTCGAGCTGGAGAAATGTGGAAAAATCAGGTAGCCCCATAGTTTCTTCAGATTATTAACACTGAATACATCAAGATGTAATTTTTGAAAATCTTCCTTCGTAGACGGTTTGTAACCTGTTGCAACCACGAGCCCCATTTGAGGGGGAACGTGTACATTCAATATGAAACTACCCGGGAAGCTTTAAGTAGTTATCACAAATTTAACGGCAGATTCTACGCTGGCAAACAGCTGAATGTAGAGTTTTGCAGCATTTCCAACTGGAGAAACGCTATTTGCGGTATGACTGCACTCATACGGTTCACTTAACTAAACGTTTATTTTGAAATTGTATTGCAGGGTTGTTCTTCAGAAACAAATGCCCGAAAGGGAACTCTTGCAATTTTCTGCACATTTTCCGCAACCCCAGAGGATTGTACATGCACGCCGAGGAGTTCCATGAATCAACCAGGCGAAAAAGACATAGAAAGTTTGACGATTCGCCCGATAGTTCTCGACATTCACACAAAGACGTATGGAGATGGTCTGAGTCGCCAGAGCGTCCCATTAATCTTGAAAATCGCATTGGAAAGTCTTTGCAACGCACCGACAGGTCAGCGAGAGAAGAAAAGAGGAAACCGAGGAAAAGAAACAGGTCCAGGTCATCTGATGAACGAACGCACAAAAGTAGGCGAAGCAAGATCTAATTGAAACACTATTGTACAGAATCGGTATTTTATTTCTTTCCCTTGGCCTGTAGAACGTGAAATAAAAGCCCCAATCTGCTATGTTTATTTATTAAGTATTTAAATTAAATTCTCACTTTTGCTCATTTTATAACAATCTTAAATAACATTTCGTTAAAACAATTATAAAATATTATATAAGTCACTTCTTGCACCTATCCAAGACAAAGATCTTACAAACTAACTACGTTTCACAAGTTGAAACCATTCTTAAGATTTATGAGGAATATGAAACTATCAAAACAACAGTTCTTTGATAAATTGAGAAAAAAAGCGTTTTGTATATAAATAGCGTTTATCAATACATAGGGGGTTCTCTGATAAAGGTGTTACAAAAAACTTCTAGAAGCAATTTGAAAATTAAAAGAAAAAGTGGAATATAGATAGAGACTGTATTTTACAGCTTAGGCCTTAGTGGTTTGCTAGGGACTCAGCAAACGATGAACCTTCATCTTGTGGACGTAAAGCTATCCCGAGCTAATCTAATGCATACAATGTTCCAATTTGGAACGCGACACTTAAACATTTAAGCCTAAATTGACTGGATCTATTTAGATTCGCTTGGAATAGCATATCGGGAAAAGAACTTATCTCTAAACCTAGATTAGTTACTGGTTTTACCGGAAAAAGACTAATATCTTTACGAGAAAAATCTGCAAAATGCATAATTTTCGGTGTAAAACAGACCAGAAGTTGCTTCTTCTTCTGAGTTGTTGATTCTGTGCCTGCAGCAAATGTAATTATCACACGTTTTTTCAAAATTCTTCAACAAACCAGACTCAATCATAATAACAATCAAACAATTTCAATTAAGTCGCCAATTTGTACTTTGGACAATTCCAAATCAAACACGTTAAAATTGAATGTAAAAAATCCTAATAAAATAAAAAAATCAGTCATCTGAGATGGTGGGCTCTTCATCAGTTTCTTCATGAGAATCAGTAACATCTTGCTCTTTGCAGCTCTTCGATAGGCGTCGACACTTCAGCTCACATTCTTTGATTTGGAATCCTGAAGCGAACTCAAATTCATTCACATTACGTCTATCACATTATGGACTTACCGATAAGGGGATGCAGGGCGTTCTTAAGGCTGAGAAATAAATTGGGAAAGAGAATCTCCTGTTGAGTGAGCAGCTGCTTCATTCGTTGCCGCTCCTTTGAAAGATTCGGATTTGCAGGGTCAGTCGATATTGGCAAGTTTTCATTGCTAGCAAATTGTCGTACAGCCTTTTCCCGCACGTAAACTAAGGGCCGAATTACCCGAAGATCATGCTCCCTAAAAACGGATTTTCATGAATAATGAAGAAAAGCTTCCTAAATAGAGCCTACTTAATGTAATAGTGCGCCCTCATGGTCCGCATTTTTCCCAAATGGAAAACGGACAGCAGGAAGTTTTCGCAAACATCATCCAAATGTTGTCCAATAGCCAAGACATTATACTCGGAGCTTTTGGCTGCCGAATACAGCCTGTGCCTAAGAGCGGCTGTACAGAAGCTCGAAAGGTTGTCTTTGGCCTCTTCGCATTTTTCTTAAACAGATTCACTCATTTAACAACTCCGCACAGTTACTTAACAGACAAACTAACCAGTTTTATATCCAGGGTCGCATTTTTTGTCGTCAATAATATAGTGGACGCCCAGGCTCTTGAGGTGCGGAATGAGAGTGCACGGATCGCATCCTGAAGAGTCTGGGTCGACTGTTATGGCACCAATGCTAAACAAAACTCCCTCCTTTTGGGCATGGCTTTGATACTGCAGTAAAGTGTGCAGCAAACTGAGTGAATCTTTACCTCCTGAGAGACACACCATGACTTTATCGCCTGCAAGGAAAATTTTTGATTTTTGGCAAAACCAGCAGCAACATCACGCCGTACCATCTTTAATCATCTTGTACTCGGTGATGGCTTGAATGACTGGACTCCACAAGTTCTTCTCTGGGCAGCTCCATTTCCTGGCCGCCATATTTTCCAAAGTGTTGGGATCGTCACTCAAGTCCCGCTGGATTGTAGATCTTTTCATCTGAAGCGTGGAGAATCGGATTTCCGACTCGGACTTTCGGTGGCCGCGTGAGTCGGAGTTGCTTCGAGCCTTGAACTGGCCTGCCATCGACTGATCTTGTTCGTGGAACGACAGGTTTATTCCGCTAAAAACACAGAAATTTAGTCAATATCGAAGAAAACACTCTACCAAAGAAGAATCAGTACCTGTCCTGGGAGCTAACGCTGGTAACAGTGGAAATCGGCAACGTTCTGTTTTTGCCTTCTGGCGCTTCTTTCCTGGGTGACGCTCCTCCATCGCCTGGCTTGTGGGCCGTTATCAAGTTATTTATAGTATCGCTGCTGCTTCCCGGCGTATTGCTGCAGACATTTTCTTCTCGCCGCGGTGGACTGATTCTTGGTTCGCCACAATGGTTTGATCTCGAGTAGCTCAAATGGTTGCTCTCCGGCGTGATAAAAACATCCACCGCACTCACCACGTCCCGAATTTCCGATTTCACTTCATTGGCCATTTCAATGGAGATTTTTTCCAAATATTCGGCCACTTCGTTGGCTGAGATTGAGTCGCTGCGACCGTCCTCGCTTCCACTTCCTACCAATTAAATATATTTTTTAGTGAGTTTCGATCTACCCAGACAGCATAAGCAAATTACATAAGTATTTATTAAATTTTTACATGTTTGGTAAATATTTCGTAGCAAAAAGAAATATTTTTTAAATATATATAGAAAAATTGGTCGAAAATAAATTTTGCGTGCCCGCAGCAGAAAAGTAAGGGCACATAGAAGTAAATCCTCTTTACTACTAAAACCTGAGACCCGTATTAAATGCTGAAAATATGGTTTTTATTAAACCAGACTTACAAAATTTGTGGTAGATGAATAAAAATATCGTCTATTTCATATACCGATATTACTTAACTGAATTAGAGTAATTCAAACAAATACGAAATTTTGAAAACAGCTTTGCCTATAAAGAATCAAATGTTTCCCAATTATGGGTTTGTTTTGAATTTTAATCTGATGATATATGGCGCTGTTGTCTCGCCCACACGTTATATGAAATACACGATATGAACATTTTTATTTCACATTTTGACTGAAACCTAGGAAGGAAAGTTATAATAATTATTAAACATTACACACAGTCAGGAAGACAAGTTAAGACTACGAACTTGAAGGCCGAGGTTCATCAAAAAGTATCATCGAGCTGACAAAAATTTTTTAAATTTTTAAATTTAAATTTTAAAAACTGTTTAAAAAATCGACCTGGCTGAAATCCCAAGGGGTTGGGAGGTAGCCATTAAAAAAATGGTGTGCGTCACGGGACGCTCGACAGTCGTTATCACTTACTTCATAAATTTATAGAAACCATAAAATATTGAACTTGTTTAACGCATGATGGCAATAATAATTGTATTTTATAATTTTAATATTCTTGTTAGTCTAATAATTTATAAATGGATCAGGAATAGGTAAAATTTAATTTAATTTCCTTTTGAATGTAAAATATCTTTTTTATTTGCAACATTTAACATTCTTTAACGAGATGTTGTACATATTGCTCTTCTTGGGTTTGTGTAAACTCTTCTTCTTGAGTTTCTGTATTTTTTTGTCGTAATTTCTTATTTGCTTTGTATAATCTTTGACGTTCAGCACTAGTTCGTGGTTGATGAAAGCTACTTTGAGTTGATCTATTTCTTAATGCTCATTTTTTAGCACGAAATCGTTTTTGGCGTTCAGCATTACTTAATACTTTCCGCATTATAACATGTTTTTGTGACTGCTCTTGTGTATGTTGTTCAT